GATGTCCAATGTAACATCAGACCCAGAATCAGAATCTTCTTTTGATTCACCTTGTTCAGGCCATACCAGCCTTCTAGCAATTGGCTTCCTTTCCAAAGGCATTCTTGGTTTAGCCTTCTTTTTGCTTTGTGGCACCTTAGTGCTTGTTTTTGGTTGAGGTCCTTTTGTAGCCTCTCTTTCAGCCTTTCACTGCCTCTGATACCTTCTCCATTGAGAGCGGGTCATAAGGTTCTTTCCTTTGTAATTGTTCGACACATGAGCAACCCTATTTGTTGTTGTTGACTGAAATTCCTTTCTGTAGGCAAAAGAGGAACCTCTTGGAATATCGAATGTCTGCCATTTTCCCTCGTTGGGCCTTTTCCTATTTGCTATCTTCAACCAAGTATCCACAGAGACATTTGTTGGAGGCTTGAAAGTTGATAGCCTATTTACTTGGTTCACTGGCCCCTTTTGGCATCCCCTTCTAGGATCATACCTTACTTCAGGATCCATGTTAGGCTGGGAATTGTTGCCCCACTTATTCTGTGCTGCACGCACCCCTTGTATGTTCTCAGCAACTTTCTTGTCGAAGATAGAACTGCATCTTGGACACAACATAACCTCTGACTTCTTTTTTTGGCATCTATGTAGAAAATCTGCCAGATTTTCGTTCTCCTTAAGAAAAGCAAGCTTGTTGATTTCCTCTTGTCGGAGCTGTCTGTTGAATCTGCAGCTTTAGGTCTAGATACTTCGACCATATTTATTTCCATGTTGTTCTTACCAGATACATTTAGTTTTTGCATCTAGGCTTCTAGGCCTTTTGTCGAACCTATGACAGCAGCCAAGTAGGAACCTTTAGTAGTTCCTTTGTTTGAACCATCAGTGGCTCCCTTGTTTAGGCCTTCAGTAGCCTTTTTCTGTAACTCTTCGACAGCTTCTCTACTAACGTCCTCAGTGAAACTGCCAAAAACAGGTTTGTTGAGGAAGTTTTATGAGACTTTGATCATGTTGATGCATGAAGGTTCAGCATAATGGGCATCTGCCTGCAGAGGCTTTGCATCAATTTTCATGGGTGGTTTGTCAACAAACTCGAGTCTTCCGTCTTTGATTGCGCCTTGAATGAGATCCCTGAAAAGAAACATTGTGAGGTATTATGGCCCAAAAAATTATGATATTTACAAAAACCTCTCTTTTTCCTTTGATCTAAAGGAGGTATTTTTGCCCTAGAGGGCACTATCATATGGCTATCTTTAACTAATAAGTCAAATATTTTGTCACATTTTGTGACGTTGAAACTATAGGTTTTCTTTGGGAACCTATCACTATTCTTCTCAGATTCAATAGGATTCTTCCCATTTGAGGGTGTTAACAGTTTGCAAGAGTATGGTGGTCCTTGCTTTAATTATGCTAAATCGACCTCGCTCTCTTCGATAGTTATAGGGTCATTAGATATCTTTGGATCTTCATCATCCATTTCAACATATGCTACCCTTTCTCTTCGCTGATTTTTATTCGTTTTAGCTTTTTCATCCTTGAGGCGTTCCACCTGTCGAACTCTATCGGCCAATTGGGTCGTGTCTCTCAGGTATTGGGTATCTAATTTCTTCCTAATGGAATAATCTAGACCCCCTGCAGCCATTTTGATTAGCTCATGTTTAGGCACTTGTGTAAAGCATCTGGCTTTGAGTAGTCGAAATCTGTTTAGATACTCATCAATTGGCTCAATGAATCTCCTTTTCACACTAGCCAGTTCTTTCAAACTTATTTTGGTTTATCCCATAAAGAACTGTTCATGGAACAATCTTTCCAACTGATTTGAATTATGGATCGAATTGGACGGGAGTGTGGTATACCAAGTGAAGGCACTTTTGGTTAGGGAACTTGGGAAATATTTAATCCTAAGATTCTCATTATTTGAGATTTCCCCAGCTTCTATCAAATACCTTTCTACATGTTCGACAATGGATTCTATCGTATCCCCTGAAAACTTGGTGAACTTTGGAACTTTCCACCTAGGGGGTCATTCTGATTGCAAGATATAATCTGATAACGAAGATGTACAGTTTGGCCTATGAAAGCCTATACACTCCATTATGTGCCATGATTCTTTCTACCATGGTTGTCAAGTTATTATTTGGTGCATAGTTGTGGTGTCAAACCAGTTGTATTACTTTATCAGCATTTTGGTTTCGATTTACCCTAACCATACCTTGTTCGACAACTCTTGGGATTTATGGAGCAACTATGGGTACTTCGACCCCAGTTTGATCGATTTCTACTCTATGGTCCATCCTATCTGGCTGTGGATTCTGATTAATGGTCATGTCATCCTCTAAAACTACACCATGATTTCCTCTTATCAACTCTCTTTGGGGTTGTCGAATAGGTTGAGGAATCCAAAAAAGTTCAGCCATGCGCGTCATTTGTGCTGTCATTTGCTGATTCGACTGGGTGGTATTTTGTATTAGAGGGTTAAGTATTGTACTCAAGGTTTGTGCCAACATTTTCACCATGTCATGGTTGCTTTCGTCCATTTTTTGCCTCAAAATTACTATAGAAGCATTTGTGAGGCTTGGCATTGTATGTAACGTTCCTCCTAAGAGTTGGTTTCTACCCAAATTCGTCATACCAGTTCTAGATCCCTGTAATGGTGAAGATGCACTCACTAAAGGTTCTGAAAATGTGGATGCAACATTCATAAGGCTTGCCATTTTAGCAGTTGGCATGCCATAAGGTTGGTCTCGACCCATCCAAGTTATCGAAAATCCTGGGGGGACATAAGGTCGAATTCCAAGATTTCCCCTTGGTGGGGGTGTTCCTGGTGGACCCCTAGGACCTATATAAGAAAGTATTGGTCTTGTTTGTGCAACCGTTACTGCTGGTATCGAACCAACTGTTGATGGAACTGGTTGACTAACTGTTGGTATAACCGCGGTTCCATTGCCAGGAATTGGTGGAGGCATTTCTCCACTAGACTGATTAGCCATTATCCTATTTCTTCTCTTAGGTATGTTTTTGTTGGTGGTTTTTTTGCCACTTCTCAATAACATACAACACTCTTTGAGAGAAAGGAAATTAATTAAAACATTTATGATAAAAACTGGTTTTATCAAAGTTCATAAAAAAAAGAAAACTTAGCAACGTTCCACTGGCCGTGCCAATTTGTTTACCGTGAAAATTGGTAAACAACCGCTGATCTTCCAAAAATGGTTATTTTGGTTACTTGCAGGATCAATCAAATTGATCCTAGGATATATGCTAAGTTATTTGTAAGTTTAGATGAAAAGGTTTGAGAAGATATTAAGAGTAAAGGGAAGATGAAGGTAAGAATTTAATAAAAGTGCAAGTAGAAGACAAGAGAAAGTAAATTTGCAGCAATGATAAAGTACTGTAATGATAAAGTTTGCAAGGAAACGTAAATGACAAAGATTGTAACGAAATGTAAAGACTTGACTTTAATTAAAATATAGTGATTCAAACGTACATTCTCAAAATTCTTTCTCACACAGTGGGTACTTGAATATATTTGAGTGACTTGTACTAATAAGTTGAACACACGAAATTTTACACAAACTTCCTATATTTATACTGGTAGTAAATAACATTCGAATTGTTGCTTCGATCCAGGATGAGGACAAGTGTCCTCTGCATGTTCTTCGATCGCTATCTTCACACCACGTCACTTTTCCTAACTGCCAAGTGAACTTCTTTTCCCTCTTTTCTTCGAATTCTACTTGCTTGCTGATACAAGGACCTTTCAGTCGAAGACCGCGGGATCCTCTCGGTCGAAGACAATAAAAACCTGTTGGTCGAAGACTAACTTTAACTTAGAAAATTCTCTAAGTGTTTTCTCCTTCTTAGCAAGGATGACTTTGACACAACCATTTCAAAGGCTCTTCTGGTCGAAGTGTCAGCAACTTTAGATTTCTTCAATCTATTTTTAGCCAATAAGGCCAACTTATATGAGTGTCGAATTTGGGAGCTAAAACATTGGAATGAGAGTGATTATGAGGTTGTGTAAGTTGAGACTGCATGGTTGAAGGAAGGTTTATAAGGATTGAGTAGTACTACATATACCAACAAGATGTATCTTATTTTATGTAGCCTAACAAATAAGAACTCCATAGTTAAATGTGCTTGATTTGGAGTAGTATTTGGATAGGTGACCTTCTGTAAAGTTTCTCAAAAAGCGTATGAGTAAGGACAAAGTATGTTGAAAAGACTCGTGTTGGTTTGTGGAGTCAGTCGGTAATCCTTAAAGCAGTCTGGGGCGTTACAATTAACACCACAAGTTCAATTTTATTATGTTATTTTATATTTCAGTATTCATAAACACTCAACCATCTAGTAAACCATTCTTAAAGTAATAAAAACTATTGAATGATCTTTAAAGCACAACCAGTTTCTCTAGAGATAAAACTGCATTCGTTATTGTCATACCCCATTTTGCCTTTTTTTTCTTCATCTAATGCATATTTTTTATTTTTTGAAAAGTCAATATAAAAGTCATTATTTTTTATTATTTCATTTAAAAATCATAAAAAATATTTAATCAATATTATTTTCATTTTTTGCATTTTTTCTATCATTCAAAGTCAATTTCAATTTTGTGTGTTTTTTGATCAAGTTTAGAATTTATATTTTATTTCAATAATTAATGTGATTTAGTTTAATTTTAATTCAATTTAAAATTTGAATTTTAATTCAATTTAAAATTTTAATTTTAATTAAATTAGAATCAATTTTTAAAGTTTTTTATTATATTCTCATTATCATAACATTATGTGAGTTTTTGTTTACAAGCCAAGTCAAGCCATGGAACAATTAGCATTTTGGGGACCACATGCACTTACACACACGGTTTTTCCATTTGACAGTACAGTAAATTTCAATTACATTCAAATTTCACCAAAATTCAAATTACATATAATTCCACGATAACAAAACCAAATTTCAAATACAAATTTGCCACTTTCAATCCACACCTTCGATTCGAAATCATCAAAGACCATAATCCCATCTTACCAATTCACACGGATAACATCTAGAATTTCCTCTAAACTCCAAACTTCAATTTTCTTAAAATTAAATTTGTCTCTCACAAACTCAAATCTTCCCTCTCCAATTTCATATTCCCCCCTCAGATTTTCAATTTCAACCTCTATAAATAACACCTTCAGATTAACAGAAAAGGGAGGAAGAAATTTTGTAAAGTTATGCGGCTGAATTGTTGAAAGATCTTCCTCCAAGCTATCAATACTGTGGCCAAAGCAGAGAGTAATACATCTACAAGACATCCATACCTCAACTCTCTTCACCCGCAAAACGTAACAACAGAAGCAGAACTGCACAACATACTCAACACCTATTCAATAATTCAACAATGCATCAACACAATCATTCATGTCAGAAATTTCAGAAGGCAGAAGAATAAGAGAAAAGAAGCAACGTGTAGAAATGAAAGAGAAGAAGAATTTGAAGCTACCTGGATCCGTTGCTCGTCGCTGGAGTCACGGTTTCGTCGGTCTTGCTCCGACTTCGTAGGTCATCTCGCTTTTCCTTCGATTTCTTTATACCATTGTATTCCTTTTGTCTTGTTGATTCAAACCCCTCAAACCTTTGCTTTGATTGCTTGTTGTGTGCCATTTAATTTGATCTCTAAGCTTTAGGGTTTCTCAACTATTTTCAAAATTAAATGTTGTTGCTGCTGTTTTTGCAAATTTGGATAATAGCTTGATGTTTAGGAGAGAAAACCGAATACATTCGTATCATGTAGGGGGTGGCAAAATGGGTTGGGCCCGCCGGGTTGACCCGTCATTTTTGGCGGGTTGGGTTGAGGTTTTTGGCTCGGTACTTTAAATTGGCCCGCTCCACCTAACCCGCTTAAAAAAGCGGGCCGAGGCGGGGCGGATTTTTCCCGCGGGCTTTTTGTTAAAATTTGTATTCTTTTTATTAAGAATTAAAACAACTTTAATTATAAAAACAACATTTATCTCTTAAGATTGTATTATAAATTATTATACAGACAAATTGAATTATAATTGTAACATTCTTTTTATAACTTACTAATACACGTGTTGATTGAAAATGATTAAAACATATAAAAGAACAAATATATGACATGCATAATTATTAAGTTTTTAATATATTAGCTCAAATGTTTTCTTTAGAAATAGATATTGATGTTATAAAAATGAATGATTTGATTAGTGTATACATGTGACAAATTTAAGATTTAACTATTAAAGAATCGGTCAATATAAAAGTTTATATAATGTAAACAGTGAGAAAGTTCGGTGTTGATATTTTACGCATTACTATTTATGCATTGTAATGTTTTATGTAATGTTATTGTTATCATTGTTAGTTTTGTATAAATTCTAAATTGGGTTATTTTAATAGTTAGTTTTTAAATAGGATTAGGATGATATGTATTGTTTATTTATTTTGATATTCTTTATTGTGCTTGAGTTTATTTTGTTTTTTTGTTGTAATTGGTCTTTATTTATTAATTTTTTTGAATTGTTTGGACTTAAGACATCTTGAAGTTCTATTATGCTTTGTTAAAAAAATTTCTTTATCGACCTATTTGATAATAATTAAAATTTTTCTAAATTATGTATTAAATCAACTCGTTAGTAAACGGGGGCAGGCTTGACTTTTGAGCTCGGACCCCTATGTTGGCTCGTCCCGCGCCGTCCCACTTTTGGATGGACTTAAACGGGACGAGCCAAAATGGGGTGAGCCGCCCGCTTTGCCATCCCTAATATCATGTTTGTTGATTTTGATTGAGTTTTGAGTAAGCGAGGCTATGTCCATGGCTTGTTTTACGGTAGAAAGGGAACATAGATTTAGGGGTGGAAATAGGTCGGATTTGGTTGAATTTAGGCAAAATCATAATCAAACTATACATGATATATCGGTTTGAGTAACGTAAAATAACTATCTACAATATTATTAGGTCGGTTTAAATAAACCCATAAACTTATGGGTTAAATTGGGTTAGATAGTGAGTTACCTTATTTTTTTTTCTTTATATAATTATTAACGATGTGTCATTTTTTTTAATAAGTAGTTTAGCGTATTATCGCTATTTTTTTAAAACATCAAATGTATAAATGCACAATAAAATCCATTATAAATATATTTGTGAAAACTAAAATTATATTACATGAATACATAGAATTGAATAAAATACTTACAAATTACAAGAATTAACATCAAAATAATCAAAATGTGACATCTTAAATAAGTTAAAATCATTACTTAAAAAATAAAAAATGTTCATAAAGGTTGAAAGTTAAACAATCAAGATTAAAAACATCAAAATCAATTATTTATTAATTTACAAAAAAGAGTAAAAAAAATAATCACTCAATAACCTATAGATTTTCTAAATTAGATATGGGTTTATTCATAACTCTAATTCAATTATTTTAAATGAGCTTTTATTTTTCAAAACTGTATTCACTCAATAATCTATCCTAACTCTTTTTTATTTAATCTGTTTGAATGGATTTTACTTGATTTATTGAGTTTATCTTACCCATATATACCCCTACAAAGATTATGACAATGATGAAAGAGAAAGGGCTGGGCACTGGTGATTAAAATCACGTTTTCTTTTATTTTGTCTCAGTATTTTACTTTCCTTTTTCTTTTACCTTTTTAATAGCATACCAAATGGCATGATATGTTGTTTAATTCTAATGATTTTCTTTAATTAGTTAATTGTAACAATGCCATGTTATCTTGGTTAGTTCAAATGTAATTTCTTTAATTAAATAATTCTAACAATGCCATCTTATGTTTATTAATTAAAATTAATTAATTTTAATAATCAATTTTCTTTAAATATAATTAATTAATTAAATTAATTTTTAATATTCATTAATTAAATGTTTAATTCACTTGTACATTTATATGAACCTGTAATTGTTTCATCCCTATTTAATTAAGTGTACTTCATCCTCATGTGATGTAATAATTTTATTGCTTTATTCAATTGTTAATCACTTCAAGCATTTCATTAAACTCTTTTCAAAGAACTAATACTCGAGTGCGAGTCATTTCTACCATAAGTCGATTGTTTTTAAGCATTGCAACCAACTACATATAGCTTACTCTTGGACTTTCTTACAATGAGCTCTTTTGACACACACTAAATAGCTTACTCTTAGACTTTCTTACAATGAGATTCATGCATTTTAATTAGTTAATTGAATGTTTATTCAAGTGTTTAATTCATTTGTGTATGTGTATTTGTGTTGGCTTGTGTTACTTGCTTATCATTATCCCCATTTAGAAAGGTGTACCCCATTTCCACGTGATGTAACATAATTTTATCGATTTCCTTTATTTTGCTTGTTTGCTTGCTTATATCTTGTCATTACATGCTAATAAAATCAACTTCACCCCGCATTCTCTGTCCATATACCGAGTCACAACCCCTCTTGATAAGTTGAGCACCTTGTGTCTTGCAATCGACCATTCAAAGCACCTTAATTCATATATCGAGTTCTACCCTCACTTGGTAAGTCGAGTACCCTGGTGCCTCGCAATCGACTTCCTCACGTTTTATATCACCGCTTTCATAATCGAAGTTTCAAACCTCGATCCAACATCAAGTTTCTTTTCAAAATATTTTTCTTAAATAAATAGAATTGAATGGAAGGGAGGGTTGCATGTCTTTTCCTTTTCTAAATTAATTAAGGACAAGTTGCATGTCTTGTATTGATTAATTGCAATCCGACTAAAACACTTTTAATGATGTCTCACTCTTTTCATAAAAAAGATTAAACAGGCGGAATATAGTACATATATTATCCTTCCCTAAGTGTTCGAATACGAGGAGCATACCTAACCTTCCAACACTCGTGTCCTATAAAATCAATCTCAACTCATTCAAACCATATATAGAGTTTATTAGTAACCACAAACAGAACTAGTGGTGACCACATATACCATAGTAATCACATACAATGAGTTTAATTGTAACTGCATAACTAACTAGCAACAATTACAACAACCATTAAATTAGTTTCAACGGTTGATTGTGCTACACACTTTCTATTGCTATACATACATAGCTTTTGTATCTCTTTGTAATCCAATGTATCACTAGTTAAAATGTTTCAATAATAACAAAATGTTTCAATAATAATGCTAAGTAGAAACACTCTTTATTTTATAGTCAAAACAAAACAAAAAAATTTGGTTGGGTACCTAAGAAGTTACCCTTTATATTATAATGGTTTTATCTATAAAATAGAAATTCATAGACGTGTGCCAACGGTGAGATTATTTTGCCTCTAACTATTTAAAAAGATTACTATTATTATAAATGTGACAAGGAAAAGGGACATTGACATGATTTAAATTGAAGAATATATGACCTTAAATGAAGAGTTTAAGTTCATATAACACCAACTTGTGTATTAAACAAATTAAGACTGCTAAACTTACCTTGTCCAACATCTTCAATGATCATTAAACCCTTGCATTATTTATTATAAGTATATACTTATAATGTCCTAAACAAGCATTGAAGAATGAGTCCATCAACACCATCTCTTCCACCACTACAAGTGTTGATGGACCTTGAGAATGAGAACAATGGTAGAGAAAACAGAAAACTGTGGGTGCTGAATCCTCCAGAGCCACCATGCATGCTGCATCGAGCCGTGGACAATATCAAGGACAGCGTCTTACATTGTCCGAATCCGAACAGATTCTTTTCTCTCAAACATGAACCTTTGGATAAAACAGTGTTACCTTTGTTGCATGGTTTGTTTCCCATTCTTAAGTCATTAAAAAACTATGATGCTCATAAGTTCAAGTGTGATGTATTGGCGGGTTTAATCCTCGCAATCTTCGCTATTCCTCAGGCTATGGGAAATGCGAGTTTGGCTAAGATGAGTCCTGAATATGGCCTATGTAAGTTGCACATTGATTTTGAAATCTCTATGTTTTCTTGAGATGAAAAATTGACAATGATTTATATATTTATTCAGATACAAGTATTGTTCCACCTCTTATTTATGCATTGCTGGCGAGTTCGAGGGAGATAGTAATAGGACCTGTAACTGTGGATTCATTGCTACTTTCTTCAATGATTCAAACATTGAAAGATCCTATAAATGATTCCATTGCTTATACTCAACTTGTTTTGACTGCAACTTTTTTTACTGGTGTATTCCAAGTTGCATTTGGATTCCTCAGGTACGCGCGCTATCTTCTGTCGCGTTTATGAGATAAGCGTTTATCATATAAGTGTTTATGAATAAGTCGACTTATTTTTATACACAGATTTGGTTTTCTGGTGGATTATCTTTCTCATGCCACGATAATCGGGTTCTTGGCAGCCGTAGCCATAGGCATTGTATTACAACAATTGAAAGCACTATTTGGAATCACTAACTTTACCAACAAGGCTGATTTAATCTCCGTGATTAAATCTCTTTGGTCATCTTACAAAAACCACGTATGAAAAACAAGAACGTTCATCATTGAATTCGATCTCAATTTTGTTTTGTTGACTTTTTTTTCATTGACTTTTTTCAGTCAGAATGGCATCCTTACAATTTTATTATTGGATTCTCATTTTTTTCTTTCATCATATTTGCTAGAATCCTGGTTAGTAAATTTTGTAGAAAATTATTTATTTGATTCTCATTTTTCTATTCGAATTTCGTCTATACTAAAGTTAAACTGTTATCGAATATATCTAACTAGGGGAAAAGGAAAAAGAAATTCTTGTGGTTATCACACATGGCTCCTCTTGTTTCATTCATTATATCAACTGTTATAGCATATAGAGTGAATGTTCATCATCTCAAACTCGAAGACTATAAAATCGAAGTTTTAGGACCAATCAAAGGAGGTAGTTTGAATCCAAGTTCACTCAATCAATTACAACTTGATGGTAATGGTAAATATTTGGGTCCATTGATCAAAATAGCATTGACAGTTGCGATTATTTCAACCACGGTAAGGTGGATCGTTATTCAAATAAGCTGTTTATTCAAACAGACCCTTAATTTTTAATAATAATAGCTTTTTTTCTTCTTCTGGTGTTTAACCATACAATAGGAATCTGTGGCTGTTGGAAGAATATATGCATCACTAAGAGGTTACAATATTGATCCAAACCGAGAAGTTCTATCCTTAGGGATAATGAACATTTTTGGATCATTCACTTCTTGCTATGTTGCATCAGGTTAATTCTTATTGTTACTTTCTAAAATCACTTTTCGGAAAAAGTGATTGATGTTGATTACGACTAACTTATATTGCAGGTTCTATTGCTCGTACGGCTGTAAATTATAACGCTGGCTCGCAAACAATGGTATCGAGTATAGTGATGGCAGTAACAGTGTTAACGTCGCTTAAATTTTTGACAAAACTGTTATATTTCACTCCGAAAGCAATGCTAGCAGCAATAATTCTTTCAGCTGTACCAGGACTTATTGATTATAAAAAAGCATACGAAATTTGGAAAGTTGATAAATTCGATTTTCTTGCATGTGCTGGAGCATTCCTTGGAGTGTTGTTTTCGTCTGTGGAAATAGGCCTTGCAATTGGGGTCATGATATCATTTGCGAAGATAATTTTGATATCGATTCAACCTGGTGTAGCGGTTATTGGAAGGTTTCCGGGAACCGATGCATTTGGCGACGTGGAACAATATCCAATGGCGATTAACATGTCCGGAGTTTTGGTTGTTAGCATAAAATCTGCATGGCTTTGTTTTGCAAATGCAAGTCCTATAAGGGAAAGGATTGAGAGATGGGTGATTGAAGAAAAAGGCGAAAATGGTAAAGGAGAAAGCACCATCAAAGTTGTTATTATTGATACATCAAGTGAGTGTTCTTGGCCTAAAATGTATGAATAAGGCGTAAATTTTATATATATTTTGATGAACGTTTCTCTTTATAATTTGATAGGTCTTGTGAGTATTGACACAGCAGGAATAGCTTCTCTGGTGGAGCTGAATAATAATCTTAGGTCGTATGGAGTCATGGTGAGATACCACTGTGTTTCTTTCCATTCCGCTTCGTTTGTTTCATGATATATATTAAAAGATAGTCTTACATTGGTTTACTTCAAAGATATGGTGATTTTTTTCTTATAAGTTTAGCCTTGAAGATTGGTATTGACTCTTGATATCTTTTTTGTTTCAGTTATCCATTGCTAACCCAAGGTGGCAAGTGATTCACAAACTAAGATTGGCTAACTTTGTAGCTGAAATTGGAGGAAGGGTTTTTCTGTCTGTGGGAGAAGCTATTGATGCAATACTTAGTGCTAAAATGGCTAACGTATAAAGAACTCATTGCCCAAAACCTGTGTTTGAATCTTGAAAAGAATAACTTTTTTTTGTAGGAATACTAAAGTTGTTTCGCCTACATATACCGAAAGGTTAACAAACAAAAAATGTGTATGTAAATATCATCTTAAACACCACATCTTATAGTCGGTTGTTACTTACCCGCCAAACAACTATTTACACAACAAATATAAAAATGGAAACTTAACTTTATCTAATTGAATTATTTATGCAAAACTAGTTACTAACAAACTCTAACGTCACTTTACACAAAGGAGTAGTTAGCTTGAATTATTTTCATCATCCTTTTTTATTTAAGTTATCAAAAGCTATAATTTTGAGTTCATTTTTCAACTTCATAAATTGCACCCTTTTGGTGACTTTACTAAACACATCAATAACTTGATCTTTTGTAGGTAAGTACACAACCTTCAGCTTGTCCACGGCGAATTGATATCTTAGAAAATGAAATATTGTCCATATGTGTGTACTTTTTCCATGGGTAAAGAGTTTTATCTAGATTAATGAATCATTTGTTATCAATTAATTGGTTGTTTTAGCTTCATTCAAAAAGGGTTGGAGTCAATTTTCTTGACAAGCTGTAGAAGAACCGACATCATACTCAACTTCAAAATTAGATAAAGTCATTATTTATTGTTTTGTTGAACACTACGACACTAATGCTCTTATGAATTTGATCAAATATCTATTTGTGCTTATCTTATTATTGTATTCCAAATTTGTCCTCTCTTTTCTCAAGACATTTCCTTACAAGTATTTTCAGAAATTCAAATTTGCACAAGTACAATTGGATTTTTAATGCCTCATATAGCTTCCATGGATCACATTGGACTTTCAAGCATCAAAATTGGAGAAAAACAAGCTTACTTTGATTTCCCTTGCTTCGATTGGACTTTGGTATCTTTCAAGCCTGCTTCGACTGGACTTTGGTCTCCTTCAAGCCTACTTCGATTTCCCAAGCTTCGATTGGACTTTGGCATCCTTCAAGCCTTCTTCGATTTCACAAAGTTTCGACTGGGCATTGGCTATGCTTGCTTTGATCCATAAGGCAAGGGTTTCTATCATGCTAGCATGCACAAGGCAATGACTTCCTTCATGCTAGCACCCACAAAGCAGTGACCTCTTTCCTGCATGTTTCGATTCACAAGGCAAGAGATTTTCTCATGCTAGCATGTACAAGACAATGGCTTCCCTCGTGCTAGCATGCACAAGGCAATGACTCCCCTCATGCTTGCTTTGACTCCACCTTTAAACCCTTCAACACACATAGTGTCTACACTATGACACACAACTGGCGCATTCGAAGAACATGCAAAAGACCCATTCAAAGAACATGAATTTGGTGGATTCGAAGAGTATAAATTTGGTGGATTCAAAGGACTTACTTTTGACCCCTTCGAAGGACACACATATGGTCCATTCGAAGGGCATACATTTAGCCCATTCGAAGGACACATATATGATCCATTCGAAGGACATACATTTGGCCCCTTCGAAGGACACACATATGGTCTATTCAAAGGACACACATATGGCCCATGCGAAGGATACACACATGGTTCATTCGAAGGACATGCATTTGGCCCCTTCAAAGGACACACACATGGTCCATTCGAAGGACATGCATTTGACTCCTTCGAAGGACACACATATGGTTCATTCGAAGGATACACATTGGGTGGAAACAAATATTATTGTCTGAAGAGGAGTTTGTTCGAAGGTTGGATCTATGTGGTCAAAACGAAAGGGTGAAGTATTCAAGATGCTTGCTGACTAAAGTTCTGCATGCTGTCAAGCCCAAGCCTGCTGTACTGGCCACAACACTCCAAAACTGCTGCAAAGCAGTCTTGGTATACTGCTCCCATATTTGCATCAAATTGGCATATAAAAACTGCACCTCGAAAGCTACAAAAATAGCATACCCAAATTGTTCAAATTTCATTTGGTTTCCCCCTAAATCTCAGCCAAACATCATCTATAAATAAGATGTCTCACAATACATCTAAGGGGCTGGACAACACATCTAGGAGGCTTTTTAGTGGCTGAAGAGAAGTTTTATTGGCAAGGCAAAGAGAGGAAAGAACACTTAAACACTCTTAAAACCCAAAAAACTAACACTTATTTTTTTTCTTCTTTTCCTTCGAATCTAGAAACAAAGAAACACAACACCTTTGTTCTCTCTTTCGAATCCAAGTTCCCCTGTACTTTGAACAACTTCCTCCCCTCTTTCGAATCTAGAGCATTTGATGACAGAAACTCAAGGTCCAATACACACATTCCATCTTCAGGCAAGGTAAGTCCTCTTAACCTTAAACCTTTCGTTTCAAGCATAACATGTAAATAACCATTGCCTTTCGTTTCAACCATCATTGTTAACCTTTCGTTGGTTTTTATTTTCTACCCTTTTCTGCTTGTTTTCATTTCTAATATTTTTGTTTGTCTTCTTTGTTTTTCAAAAACATATTAAGAACTAACCTGACCATGAAACAATATTAGCATGGCTTCGACCCATGCTGCTATTTAATCCCAAACGAAAGAAAACAGGAAGAAGGTTATGTGAATCGAAGCCCTAGGCTTCGCCCTGTGCTACTATCTAACCTCAAATGAAAGGAAACAAAAACAAAGGTGCGTGAATCAAAGGATGTAGGCTTCGATACACACTGGTTGCAGGCCCAAACGAAAGGAAGCAGAAATGGGTGTGAATCGAAGGACATGCTTCGATCCAGAATTTCCTTTCTTTCTCTCTTTTTCATTTTTTTTGTCTTTTATATTTTCTATACATTTTCTTTCATTTGCTATTCAATATGGTTGTAATAATTAGGAATTTTTATTTCTTTCAACCCCCACTTGTACATTTATATTCCCCATCCCCTAAAAGTGATGTAATAGTGTAGGACTTTAATTTCCACAATTTACCACTTTATATAAAATGCTAGTAATTAGAGTGTGTATGGAAAGATAAAACCAATACTTAGACCACCCAAATTCAAGACAAAAATGCATGCAATCAAACACACTATTCACACATGTGCACCTCTAGGATAACCTCACATGTTGTCTCGGAAAATAGTCATGTCCCTCGAATATGGTCGTTTTAGCAAAGACCCTCAATAAAAAGATCATAGTCCCTCGATGTCCCTAGATGTTGCCCCTTACGAAAATTGCTAAAACGTATCATAAATTGTCTTCTATGACTATACAATTGACCCACGTCCGTCCCTTCACATCCAACGATTATGCTTCTTACCAAATAAATGGTAAGATAGCAATATCTAAAGGAGGAGGAAAAGCACATAAGACCTTTTGAGTAGGTAGGACGCTCGTAGTTGCTTGCTTGCTCAAAACTAAAAAACCATTTTCACACCAACACTTTCAAATGAAATATTTTTAAAAAGTCAAACACTTTGTATGCATTCTTATAGAGACGAGAATCATTACAAAGTTCGCCTAACAAATGCACTTTTCAAAATCATTTTCAAAACACAAATAAACATCTCTCTGAACTATTTTCAAACCAACACTTTGTACGCATTCTTATAGAAACGGGAATCATTACAAAGGCGTTTTCAAAATACTTTCAAAAACCCACCACAAAGCACATTTTTTCAAACAAAGCAAAAGTGATCTAGCAAGCAACTAAGAGCCCGTAGATAACTACAGATGAAAAGGGTGCTAATACCTTCCCTTTTCATAATCTACCCCCCGAACTCTAGAAAACATCTCAAATGTCTTTCCTGTGCTTTTCATCATTTCCTTTGTTGGATAAAAGAAAACTCGATGGCGACTCTTGCTATCCGCAACAATTACGATCAAACGCAAAACAAACCAAGTCAGTTCTCCCACTGTATCATAGAATTGGCGACTCTGCTGAGGAGAAACATAAAAGTGGGGTTACCTTAGAGCTAGATCACCTTTAAAATGCTTTCCTTGTTTGACTTTCTTACTTTACATTTATGGGTCCTTGTTTGGGTTTGCATTGATCCTCCACCCGGATCTGGGGCACCTTTTAGGTAAGTAGCAATATATTGTGGAAACTGTACGGCGTAGATCGGTATGATTAAAGCAATGGCTACGTTAGTGTGATGCATTTGTTGGTACTAGTATCTCTTGTGTTGAATCGAGGAGAATACGGGGCCGCTGAACGGTGTCACGAAGCACTAACTGACCATAGAACCTTAATTGAACAACTTGGTCATTAGGAAGTAGTGAGATAGTCGACTTTGGTGTAAAGATGAAGATTGGTTGATAATCGATACTACACTCATTGAGATAAGACTTTTGGGATATCTCGGCCGCAAGAAAAGATTGATTTTGCTGAGAAAATGCCCAAAAGAAAGGTCAGTGATATTGAGATCCCCTAGAACCCGGTTACTTTCTAGGACAGATTGAGCCAACTAAACTTCAAGAGGGTACTTACCTATGACTCCATGCAAGCCTAAACCTAAGGAATTGTGTGCTTTTGTTTATATATGATTATTTGTACATAAAGACTTGTTTGTTTTGTTCACTTGTACATAACATCATGACATCATACCATAGTACTGTCAAAAACCATTTCAAGGATCTCAAGGGTCTATGATGCAGGGCCATGATGAACCAGACGTCCATAAAGGGGAAAGAGGATTCATTTTCCTCTAACCAAACGCCATCAAAAACCAAAGCACGATAACTTGAGTCAAGGGCTATGAACCACTTGACATGGTGAGCTTGATTCTCGTGGAAAGACATCTAACAATAAGAACTTCTCCAATCAAAGATGTGATCAAAGTTCAAACTTCTAACATCTTCTTGTGTTTACCCCGCGAGATCCTTGAAAATATTGCATCCACATATCATGCATCATACCATGACAGGTTTTCCCCATACAAATTTTCTCATCTACTTATTGTTTATTTCAGCAGAGATGGCTCTAGAACAGACTATCAAGGACCTTCAGACCCAAAAAGCTCATCTTCAAGAAATGTTCTTGAACCTATC